AAAAGGACTATTAATGAGTAAAAGTTTTAAAAAGCCAAGTGCCTATTTTCCCCCCTGATACTGACCTTTTGAAATGAAGGCTTTAATTTGACATATTTTAACTAGATCAGCCAAAGAGCTATGGTCTTTTTCAAGACTGTGTTTCAACCCACTTCTCAATTATACATTCTATTTAGGCACATTTTAATTAGCCCAGGGATGGCTGGCCAGAAAAATAGAGGGTTTTAAGATTTTAGAACACAAAGTATTAGTATGTCTGACTGGGAACTGTTTCTCATGAGAGATTGCCTGCTCACCAAATAAATTCCTTACTATCTATCTATCATGGCCTTCAATTTTCCAACAGAATAGCCTGATTCATCACTGTTATGCCAATGACAACTTCTCTATTTGCTGTTGCCTGCCGATTCCCCTGGGGAAACTCTAATATTTCAGGCTTATGTGGAAGATATTAAGTTTGATATCATAGAATTTCTGGCACCTAGTAAAATACTAAATGCATTGACTTTGACTATTTAAACAGGAATTTTAGACACTTAAAATTTAAAAGGACCTCAGACAATTAATGTCAAAACAATTTTGTTTTATCCATGATGAAGATGAAGGCTAACAAGGAAACATGATATAGCTTAGACAAGCAAACCAATTAGTTAAAAGAATTAAACTTAAGTTTTCTAAAACAGGGTCTGTATGCTGTATTAAACAGTCTCTATGTATCTTTCAAGTCAGCTCACACAAGACAAAGTATTGCCCCACTGTCCTAATGACAGAAGGAGCCTGTTTTATGATGCTTTTTCTTCGGTTCACATTTCAGTTATTCTACCACTCCAGCTCTTTCTAGATCTCTTCATCCCTTTCAATGGGTCTTCTTCTCCTATCTGTTCTTTCAATTACTAATAAAACACAAAAGTATTAGATCATTGTATCAATTGTTGTCAAGCAATATTTTACTCAAAGGTAGACCAATTCAGTGTCTAGCATTGTCTCTGTCCCCATTTTTACTCAACATTTCACCCTTCCTCACCTGTTCCTACTCACACACCATTAACCACTATTGTCTGCTGCTTTGCTTTCTGATGTCTGGTTCTCCAGTTTCGAAAACAAGTCTCCTGAGGCAACGGGCCTGGAAATCATGAGCATTCACTCTCCTGACATCTGACCCTTGGAGACGCCACCTGCTCTGGAGTGGAGTTCTGGCAAAGAAACAGATGTGAACAAGTCAGAAGCACGCCGCTTATATTCTCATTTGTTCATTTGGATATGGTTTAGTTTAGAGCAGTGGTTCTCAACCTTCCTAATGCCGCGACCCTTTAATACAGTTCCTCATGTTGTGTTGACCTCCAATTTCATTGTTACAAATTGAACATAATTAAAGCATAGTGATTAATCACAAAACAATATGTAATTATATATGTGTTTTCCGATGGTCTTAGGCGACCCCTGTGAAAGGGTCGTTCAACCCCCAAAGGGGTCGCCACCCACAGGTTGAGAACCACTGGTTTAGAGGGAGGGTGTGATGATGATCTATGGGAAAGAGATAGAGTAGGGAAAATTCTGATTTTCCACTATACTTATGAAATTCATATTCCAGTTTGGGAGATAGATAATCAACAAATAAAAATAAATACATAATGCAATGTTAAGTACAGAAAATGCTATGAAGAGACATAAGCAGAAAAGGGAAATATAGAGTAATGTAAGTTGACAGGTAGCTTTGATATTATGTTCTTGGAAAGTTGGCTAAGAAATGAGCTTAGGCTGGGACCTGAGTGAAGAGACTATTCAAATGACTATGAGGAGAGCATTTTCAAAGTGAGAGCAGCAATGCAAAGATCTCAATAGGAGGACAAGCTCTTTTATTGAGAAAAAAAAATAACTAGGGCCATAGTGATAAGACATGCAGCAACATGGAGCATATGGAGCAATGGCATACAGTATGAATGAATCCTATAAATATAATATTCAGCAAAAGACATTACTATGAGTCCATTTACATAAAGTTCAAAAACATGCAAGATTAATTTATGGTGTTAGAATAATAATTGTGAGGAGAAAGGAGCAAATAGGAGGGTCCCTTCTGCTGGATTTATAGTGTTTCAGTTTCAGAATATTCTCTTTGTAAAGATTCATTAAGCTGTACACTCACAATTAATGCCCTTTTCTGTAGCCATTTTACTAAATAAACATATTTTTAAAATCAAAATGCCGGAGGAAAGAGATAAGCCACACATTAGAGAGAGAACATGAAAATATCTGGGTTAGAGAAGCCCATCAGTCCAGATCCTGGAATGGAAAGACTATAATATATTGTAGTAGTTCAACAGGTATTTAACATGTATTAGGTGACAGTTCTGAAAACCAACACTACCCAGGTTTTAAGTAGAAGGAGCTTACAATAGAGTTTGAGACAAACCAGACAATTGACATGAATTTTATAAATATCAAAATTTTCTAAAATGGTGATGTTTATTTTTTTCTGTGGAATATTCTATAAAGCTGGATAGCAGTTGGTTCATTAGGAAGTTAATGGACACAGTTGTTGATAATCTAACATCTTATTCCACTAATTAAGGAGCTTGGTTTGTGGCCCCATGCCCTCTGTATAAGGTTTGAATTCTCATATTGGATTTTTTCCTCTTTTCTTCCCTTGCATTCTTCATCTCTCACTGAACTCATGCAGTCTGAAAATGCCTTCTGCATACTACTGTTGTTTGACTAAAATTTGCTCAATTCTTCAGACCTGGCTCTTCATTTGCACATCTCTTTCTCAGTTGCATATTTTCTAACCCCCATATATGGACTTTTGTTTCTTCCTTGAACTCTTAACACTGGACATTGACAGAGCATCCATCATTTTGTTTTATGTTTTAATATATTTTTATCGATTTCAGAGAGGAAGGGAGAGAGAGAGAGAGAGAGAGAGAGAGAGAGAGAGAGAGAGAAACATCAATAATGAGAGAGAATCATTAATTGGCTGCCTCATGCATGCCCACACTGGAGATCAAGCCCGCAACCCGGGCATGTGCCCTCACCAGGAATCAAACCACGAGCTCCTGGTTCATAGGTAGGTACTCAAACACTGAGCCATGCCAGCCTGGCTCTCACTTTATTTATTAGCTTCTTACCTGTCTCTGTTCCTGGCTGAACTATAGTCTGAATGAGGACGGATGCTGTGTCTTCTGTATACACAGCATCAAGCACAGAGCCTGGCACATAGGAGTCTTTATTTATTCTTGCTGAATATATGAATAAATGGAATGGAAGAAAGGAACGAGAGAGTATTGGATGTTGAAATGACAGAACTGGGTTATAAATCAGGTCTCTTTACTCCTGGTCCTGGATATTTTCTTTAAGAATTACCCACTCAAATGAATCTAGGGACAAGGAAGAAATAAAAATTTCCAAAGTGATTCAAAAGGGAGTTTGAGGGCTCTCATGAAGGTAAGCAAGGCCTTCACTAACGGCAAAGTGACTCCTCAGGTCCTGCTTACATTTGTCATCTGAGAATGCTGATGATCAGTATGGCCAGATACTCTGTGATGAGTTTTTTTTTTTTTTAAAGATAACACATAGATGTGTGGACTTGAAATGGTGGCTAGTAATTCTAGCACCATCATCAATCATCTTTATTATTTATTTGTAAATGCCGTGATTACAAACAATCTCTCTGCCTCTAGTTTTCAAACTCCACTCTACTAGTCTAGCATAGTCCATTCTAGACATGTCATTTTCAGAATGATGATTCTATCTTCAATTTTTCTTATAACACTTTCTTAAACTTCTGATGTTTTATTTGAAGCATTTTCATGTCGTTAAAAAAAGTCAATATCAGTTAGTCTTCTCAATAAGACAGAAACTGTGCTCTTGATCTGACCTGATATTTTAAGAAAAATGAGCTCATAAATTAACAAGTGTTAACACAGGTAGTTAACCAGCTATTAATAAAGGAAGAAAGCATCGGGAATTGGACATTATTGAGCACAATAAGCTAGGGAGCATGAGCCTGTTCCCTTCACCAGAAAGCTGAAGTTTCACACACACTACAGGGGAATCACAGCATTGCTCAGCCAAGAATTAACACCCCTCTCTCCCCCGCTCTGGTACCAGAATTTGGGGGATACCAGGGGAGGTCAGCACATGTGCAATGGCAGTCAAAATGACATAGGAGTTGGTGCTTCACCATAAAGACCTGTCAGTTTAACTTGAAAAGGAATCATTGGTCAGAAGGGTTCAGAAGGGCGTTCTCTCTCTCTCTCTCTCTCTCTCTCTCTCTCTCTCTCTCTCTCTCCATAACCATATGGCCTTAGCAACCATGTGGTCACTGCCTGAGTGGACTCCAAATGCAGGCTCCAGGTGGGAACTGGGATACTGCAGTACAGCAATGGATTGCAGCCAGGAATGCAATCTAAGTAGCCGAATGCTGGACTGGACGAAGCTTCAATATGGCACAGGGTCTCTGGACATTGGCTCCATTTCTTGAGCTGATTTTCCATGGGGGGGACAGACAGAGATGGGAGCCTGAGAACCCAGAAAGGACACTTTTGATTTTGCATCAAGCACCCAAATAAATCTTACCACCAGACCTCATCCTCCCTTGTGGGTTCTTGGAAGTGCTTTTTCTCAATGCACGACAAGAACCCCACTTCTACCAGTAGCAGAAGTATTTGGGAATTTTCCAATGTTCTTATTTTTCCCATTATAATTTGGAGACAATGATACAGGCTCTCTTGTCTTTTAAAATTATGTGGAGAACAGTATGGAGTTTCCTCAAAAAACTAAAAAAATGGAACTCCCATTTGACCCAGTGATCCCACTTCTAGGAATATATCCCAAGAAGCCAGAAACACCAATCAGAAAGGATATAATCACCCCTGTGTTCATAGCAGCTCAATTCACCATAACTAAGATTTGGAAACAGCCTAAGTGCCCATCAGCAGATGAGTGGATTAAAAAATTGTGGTACATCTACACAATGGAATACTATGCTGCGGTAAAAAAGAAGGAACTCTTGCCATTTGCAACAGCATGGATGGAACTGGAGAGCATTATGCTAAGTGAAATAA